AATCAATCAACCAATGAATCAACCAGTCAATCAAGAAAAAAGAAAAAAAATGATCAGTACAAAACTGTGCAATCGTCTAATCAAAGGGAAAAAATGAAAGTAAAAAAAAAAAAAAGGGGGTCCATTGTTTCCCCCTCCCCCACCTTAAAGTGGACCCCCCCATTTTTTAATTCTTTTTTTTTTTTGTCAATGGGGGGGTGTGGGGTCCTGGTCGCTCCGTTGGAATCCCGACCCCAATCGGCGGGACCCCCCTCCCCTTGGCCATAGCGTGCCGATTTCGACCGCGCCCACAGCGGTCATGACCGCGGCCCCGCGCCCCCGACCACGGGCCGCGGTCATGCCAGCGGTGACCGCAGCCGAAGGGGATACATAGATGAGCTCCCATGTCGTGAACTCCATGACCGGTTTCCGTTCACAGACCCTGTGAACGGTGAACGGGGGTACAACACTTCCTGGAGCAGAAACAGGAAATCTCAATTGACTTTATCATACGCTTTTTCAAAATCAAAGCCTATGTGTCCGCCCGTACGTACGGTCCTTCAAGCGGTCGTACGGGCCGTAAGTACGTACGGGGGGCAACACAGATCAAAGCGGCCTCCCAAGTGGTCGTACCGTAGTACGGGGGGCAAAACAGATCAAAGATGAGCACAACAACTGGGGATTCCGTTCCATTTTGTTGATGTATTTCATTCCTTATTTACATACTGCCATCACTCAGTCTGTCTCCAGTATCTATTGACTGGACCTTGTAGCCTCTAGGAAACCAGTCTGGTCTGCATGAATGAGGGTAGGTAACACATTCTGAATCTGGTTTGTGATACGCAACCTCACGCCCCATCGCGGTGTCCCGTACGGGGTCGCCGATGAGAGTCTTAGGAGGGGCGTGGCCGAGGATTTTTGGCCGTAAGGGTTGAGTCTCCCGGACGGAACAGGAGGCCCTCGTTTCGTGCCAGAGGTTTTCCCCCGCAATCGAACTATCGTCGCGAAGTCCCGTGGAGGGGGTCGGATTGCTCCGAAATGATAAAATAAAAAAGGTTTCCGCGAAAACGAACTGCCGTCGTGCATCAGGACGGGAAAAGGCATCAAGGGGAGAGGGTCATGGCGGCGAAGGGCAAAACTTCGGCCGTCAGGGGTTTGGGGGATAGGTGGTAGGTTCGAAGCCTTCAGGCCTCATCCTCGGTTCTCACGAAGTGACCGAACCCTCGGGTCTTTGCTGTACNCGTCAGGGGTTTGGGGGATAGGTGGTAGGTTCGAAGCCTTCAGGCCTCATCCTCGGTTCTCACGAAGTGACCGAACCCTCGGGTCTTTGCTGTACAGGTGGTTGGTTCGAGGCCGTCAAGCCTCGGCGTCGGACTCACAGAGTCCGCGTGAAAGTTTCCGGGAGGGTAACGCGGCGGGAGGACTCGTCGGCATCCGAATTCGAAATTGCGCGGGCAGCGTCCCCGCACTGCGGGACAGCTCGGGGAAACACGTCGCTCCCTCGTAACCCAGGACCAGCCGTCGCCAAGAACACGATTCCTTTTGGCGACACCAGCGACAATCAAACTGCGGCCGCCACGCGGCGTGAGTGGCCGACCAGGGCAACACCGTTAAACCCGTGTAAGGCAATATTAGAGTCGCGAAATCAAAACGATCAATCAAGACAAGCCCGTTCCCCCTTATATCACACGCCCTAGAAGGGTTTTGCCAACACACTTGCTCCGTCCGCCTCAGTGCGCGCCGTACGTCCGCATCGCAGTAGACGCTGTCGTCATCTGTGATGGGGAAGGTCGGTAGCGAGATGAGACGGTCGGAGGTACGAGATGAACACGGGCAAGATCCCGCGTTCCCGGTCATCCAAACCAACACCGAATCCATACACAATCGACGCAACTCTTCTCTCTCAAAAGTGGGTGCGTCGAGGGAAGATGACGAAATTTAAGCTCTCTCCACTTGCGGGGGCGTCGACCGTCCGTGCGGACGCAGGCGGTTGACGTCACCTGTATGGGGACGAGAAGCTCCAAAAGCGATGACTATCAGTTCAAAAAGGAAGGCGATCGAGAGAGAGAAAGGGAGTGTAAGTTACGCCGAGACCGCGTGCGAGCGCAGGGAAGGCCGCGGAGGGGAGGGGAATGACCGGATCAATACACTCGTACTCCGAAGCAGACGGTCTCCCGATTCAGTTTCCCCATCTCCGCCCGGACGAGTACATATACACATACATGCATGCAATCAACAACCTTGGACAGGACATCTAATCATCCATGGACCTTGGACATCACTCATGCG